ACGAGTCAGATCCGCTTCTACAACATTGATCTCCGTCATCTTTCAGCTTGATCCCAGTGAGAAATGATTCGTCGATCGACGTCGAAACGACGTCGAATCGACATCGACACCGTCGAATTGACGTCGATTCGACATCATTTCGACGTCGATCGACGAATCATTTCTCACTGGGATATTGAGAATTTCAAGCTTGCCGCCAAAACATACCGAGTAACTTTTTAACCGACGAAAAATGGTAGGTTGAGAATTCGACTCTAGAGTTAACTCAATTACTCTAACCCGGAGATCTGAACGCGGTCTGTCGAGTCCAAAAATATTTACTCGGATGCTATCTGAACGGTATCGGGTAAATTTTTCTACTCAGAGTAAAGAATCTGAACAGCCTTGGGGGTACAAACGAGTACAAACGATCACAAAACAGCTTTCAGAATTCGAATATCTTTAAAAATGACGAAGTTGGCTCTTACCCCTATTTTCAATATTCGGTACAATCACCCTCTTGGGGGTACAAACGAAACTGACGGTGGTGTAAACGGGTACAAACGATGTTCTTTCGAATGGTGTAAGTCGGTTTCAAATATCTTAAAGTGGGGTGCTGGCGATTTTTTCACCCTTTCGTAACGTTCACCCCTTTGAGATACAAACGAAATAAATGGTGGTACAAACGGGTACAAACGATGCTCTTTCGAATGCATATAGAGAAAAATTTTGTTATTAAAGTCGGGTGATAAGTTCACATAGGTCAGATACCGCTAAGGCGTATGGCTCACTTCACGCACACTAGTATAGATGTGCGGCTTACATGCGTCCGTTTAAAGTGATGCTGATTAACTAATTTTTAATTAATAATAATAACAATTTATAATTGGTTTGGGACTTTTCAACTCAGTTTTTCATGAGAAATATCACTTCATAAATCGTGGGCGCAAAGTAGATTACACCTTGTATAGCGATACGCATCACATTGAGTGTTTTCCAATTGCAATATCCCTAGACACTTTCATGCGCACGGTGACAAATTGCGTTCCAATTGCCGTAATTGTCGACACAACTCTACAGGGTGCTCCCGGGTTAAATGGCCAAACTTGAAAGATGTATTTAGGACCTCAAAGCAAGAAAAATTTTCCTCTGGAAATATGCTCGTAAAAGTTCCGTTCAAGAGATATTGACATCTGAAGTTATGAACTTTTAGGAATGAATAATTTCGAAATATGACTATTTCTTTGATTCAGAATTCCTTGTCTGGTAAATATGGCTTCATCTGTCCATAAAATGTTTTGCGAGAATTGTAAATCATAATTTGTTTGATTTAAAAACCAATCGCAAAACATACAGTACGACGGAACTTTGTTTACGAAATCAAAGGTCATTGATAGGCTTTTATTTGTATGGTAAACATTAAAGCGTCGTATCATCGTACTTAGTTCGTTGAATGCTTTCGTCGAATAAACTGGTATGAAGTGCCTGTTAATGATCTTCAATCATTAAAACGGAGGATAGTGCAGGCGTGTAACGAAATTACAGACGCACACTGTCAGTCTGCCACTCATTCTGTCATCGATAGGTGCAATGCATGTCTCCAAGCTGGAGGCCATCATTTTGAACAAAATGTTTAATTTATTTTTAATAATTAAATTTTTATTATTAAAAAGCAATAAAGAGGATAAATCTAAATTATTTCGAAATAATTCATTCCTAACAGTTCATAACTTCAGAAGTCAATATCTCGTGAACGGAACGTTTACGAGCATATTTCCAGAAGAAAATTTTTCTTGCTTTGAGGTCCTGAATACATCTTTCAAGTTTGGCCATTTAATCCGGGAGCACCCTGTATACAACTGCATTTAACTCGAGGGCTACTAGTCGGCTGTGTAAGCTCACGTTTTCTAGTAACAAATAATACACTAAACACGGCGACTATGAACAAGTAGCCAGCGTTGTGTCTTTGCTACGATAGTTTTTCCTACATGTTTTGCACGTGGGATCTCTACGTATACTACTCTGTGTACTCTCCGTGGCACATACTTTGTTCCAATTGTCATCGCTACACTTTGTACCTTTCTGTACATTTGTATTAAAAAGTGTGAAGCAATTCTTCCTTGGGAAACTGTCGGATCTCTCTTCGCAGTTTCGTAATATTCTGTATGACGGAAGCATCCACGTTACCTTGTATCTTACGTTGGCGCAGCCGGTGTATCAAAAAAAATAACAGACTCAGTGAAAATAGTGCTGTCACGAAACTGGCAATCGATCGTAAACCTATATCGTAATTTGCATTCCCATCTATTGCATTGGTTCCTGTTTCATCGGCCTTGTCATTCGATATCGGTGACAGTGTGTCGTCCAGGCAAATGAACTCGCAACAGGTGTTGCCCCGCCGGAAAGACTTGCAATTCTCCTGTTGCACAGAGTAAATTTTTGATGTAAATTTCCAAGTTGCCATGCCTTACTTTGTCAAGCGACTCCATTGATTAATTAACAGCGAGTAAAAATGCAGAACGCAGGCATTAAGAAGCAAAGGAATTTACTTAAACACTAGACGCGTTACGTACCTCGAGAAACTTGCAAATAAATGCTTTGCACCATTTCGGATTGCCATTGTCACAAATGCAGAAGGTACACGGTTCAGGTCCGGGAATATAGTGATAACCGCTCTCGTAAGAGTGCCCATGCTGATCCTTGCATGCAACCCCACCTTCTGCGTGTACTATAAATATTAACGCGCACTTGTCACCAAGAGAGAAGGAAAGAGAAGCAGATAAAACATAAAAGAAGCCAAAGCCATACAAGTTCTCGGTGTAAAAATTTACAATTTATTTACTTATTATTTTGCACGTATCTTTTACTTCCGCTATCAAGATTCTTTTTTTCCTGCGAGGTTTTTGCTAATTATGCGAATCAAATGAAGAGGAATATCGCATACAATTCAATATGCCAATTCTCTTTTGTTATGACTCATAAAGCTCAGTCCTGCCTTACTACGTTCAGCCCGGAGTTTTCGCGACTCGATCTGAATTCAATTCGACTTAATTTACGGAATAATGCTGCCCCGGTGCTGGGAAGCTATATATACATATTACTCCGAGGGTGCACACACGCACTCCGCGCGAATTCACACGCGCAGTTTGCGTGCGCGCGCGCGCGGACACTTTTGCGCGTGTGCACTTTTATGCACATGACATATAGAACCTGCCCTATTTTTCTTGACAGCTCTCGGAGCGTTCGACTTTCAAATGCAAGATATACGCGGGGCACAATGCACGGTAGCGGGTAGCGGCTGCTCCCTTCGGTAATCGATGGCGTTATATAAATAAAAAGCGCGACATATCAAGAGAACCGGAGACCGCGCCGTGCCGTATTCGTGGCAAATGAACTCACCTTTGAGGCGAGTAAGGGTGAATGTAAGGACCGCGTAACCGAACAGGTTACCGCCGCTACTGCTGCGTCTCATTCCGCATTTGTTATCTCGTCATAGCGTCTAGTGTATCTCCGGGGACGCCCCGTGAGATTCTTCCCTCCCTGCTCCTCCGTGTCGGTGATGCGAATTCTCCGGATCCGGAGTGACGTTACACGGTGTATTGTCGCGTAGTAGCGCATCGGCGATACCGTTGCATTTTTCTCACTGTGAAATACTCGCGCATACACGGCAGTGAGAAATCGGAGCACGCAACGGAGGGATCACGCGCGGGGAGAATCGCGCGCGCGTTGGCCTCACCGCCTGGCAACCACCATGCTCTAGCCTTCCACGCACCGTTTAATGTATCGCGCGTACGCGTGCAGCACCAAGATTTGCTGCCATGCGACTCGTCAGTTTACTTTAGGTTTCCCGTTCACGGATCACCCGCTTATAGCCGACCCCGACGACGAGTGACGTACGGGAACGTGCCCGAGCGACTCCGCGGCACCGACTCCCCAGACTCCTGGAATAATCGATTACAACGAACAGACGAGAACAGGGCCGTCTGTCGCTGCGAGCGAAATTGTAGCACAGTATAACCAGTATGCCCACTCGCTCTTTTGTTTCACGTTCGCGCCGATCCGTACTGCGCATCCGACATGTTTTTATTATAACCAATCACAGGATTTTTGTACGTGTGTTAGTACAAAGTCGGTGTGACATTGAAAAATTTGCAGTGTTGACGAATAACGCGTTAATACTTTTATATGTTGGAGCAAGTAATTACATTAATTACTTTTATTACAACATTTTCTTTCATAGGCCATTTCCATTTACAATAAATAATGTACGCTAGTTCGTATGCGCCTTTCCTGGATACGATCCTGAAAAGGGCCCAGGCACTTTTAGCCGTTGATACACTGTTGGGGCGATTAAAAACATGGCGGAAAATTGAGAACGCCCAGATCAAAGGTGCCGACAGAGAGTGCCCATACTGGTTATAC